TTTTCCTGTCTGCTCTATTGTACTTCTATTCCGATCTTTTATTTTTTTTTTTGGTAGATTATTAAGTATGAATTTGTTGTAAATTATTCTGGCATATAGAATTTTTTACATCTTGAGATGTGCTTGGAACACCCTCTTCAAGCCCAGCCAAAGGCAGAATTTACATAATACAATAAATAAATACAAATAATAAAGTGCAACTTACGTTCAAAAACAAACTTCTCATCTTATTTGGACTTAGGATGCTTTTGTTTTTGATAATTGAGCGGAACAAAAGCATAAATCCAGATCAGATTGTATACCTTTGAATTAACCTGGACTTAAAACATGTTAACGAGTTCGAAAGCATGTAGTTTTTTTAGTTGGACTTAAAAATACTTTACCACCAAGTAGATCGTTATTTTTTTGTTTCAATGACATTACAAAGTGAATGTCGAAAAAAATGGACTTAGGATAATACACCTTCGGTACGCAGATATTATTATTTCCTATAATAGTGGGTAATAACTTATAGAAAAGTTGGCCACACCGAAGATTTTAGGTTAAAATTTGCAATTGTTATTTTTGTACTTTTTAGCGATAAATTTACGTCTAGAGTACATTATACACAATGTATGTATTTTATTAAATGTTACAGACTGCCTAGTAACCGATAGTATGGTATACTTACGAATGAAAAGACAACCCCGCCATTTTCCTTTCACTACCACTTTTACACCCTAATACACTACACCGCACCATGTTTTAAATAAAAATGGTTGGAATACTACGTCTTAATTGTTCACAACAAAATATAATATGAAATACTTATCATAAAACACATAAAACAGTATTTTATACAAAGAATTTATCACGCTACACGTTAGCTGTCAAACTTTATTTAGCAAAGTGGTTTGCTAAATATTAAAAATGGCGACACGCTAAGCGAAACAAAAAAATCTCATCGTTCTTTCTCATTTCTTTACACGACATCGGCGTAAGTTGCTCTTTCTCTTGTGTGACTGCGATAAAAGATATCAATTTGTTTATAGAATTCTCTGTCTACGCTTAAAACGCTTTTTTCTTTAGTTGGCAGCAACAGCTTCCTAAAGAGCTTTGCCAAAACCTATATAATTTATGACTTTATAGTTTAAAATCTTTTTAGTTTCCATAAAAAGTTATAGTTATAGATTGAAACCTCTGTAGAGGATTGTAGAGAATTGGAGGAAGGAGGAAGATTCTACAATCTCCTCTACAGGAGAGGAGAATTGAAGCCTTTGTAGTAGTTGCATCGCTGTGATATTGGGTTGTCTTCTGGCGATCATTTGGATAAATTGATCATGTCTCTGCGTAGTAACACGATATCCGTGTGTTGTTCAGCTACATCTCCGGTACTGGGATAACGTGATCACAACCTTGATATCATGTTTGGCTGGTGTGCAGGGCCTCAGGGCCTCAGCAACGAGGTGTTGAGTAGCAACATTTTATCTCGACTCATTCATTAATATCAGTATAACAATATTTTGACGGCTCCGTGGCGCAGTGTCTTAGCAATGAGTTACAGCGCTAAGGGCCGCGGGTTCGAATCCCGCACGGAACAAGTATTTGTATGGCCTACAAGTATCTTATTGTTCCGGGTCTGGATGTTTGTCCTTTTTTGATCCTTTTCCTTGAAATTTATGTTTGTAAACTGCTTCCACAATACAGGAGAAAATCCTAGTTTGGAGGTAACGTTGTTTAAAACAAATAAAAAAATATAAATTTTCCTTGATGTAACGAATTACTAACAATTTTGCCACCATGTTTTTTTCTTTTGTTTTTTTATTTGAAAATATAATAAAAGAGGTTTAAATCTAGAACTATAACTTTTTATGGAAACTAAAAAGATTTTAAACTATAAAGTCATAAATAATATAGGTATTTGGCAAAGCTCTTTAGTATGGAGTGTAGAAGTAAAAAGTACCGACTGGGTAATAAAAAGTGTCCATTAAAACCTTTAAATAAGGTGTTGCCACTATATAGCTACGGGGTAAATTTTAAAGAACGCACCGAAAAATATTAGTGGGATAGACGACTTTTCGAGGTTATATTTACTAAATAAAATTATTTTAGATTTAAGAGCTACTGATCAGTTTAGCAGCACACTTAAACCGTCGACAACTGCTAAGTTCATTTCATCTCAGTAGCTACTCCAGCGCATTTGTGGAGAGTTTTTGAACTGTTATTTACTGCTTACAGATGGCCACGTTTTTAACTATTCTACTATGGGAGTTGGTACTCCTTACTTCTACACTTCATACTCTTCAGGAAGCTGTTGCTGCCAACTAAAGAAAAAAGCGCTTTAAGCGCTAGCGTACTAGGGATATTGCACTCTCGAGCTCGGACGCTGCGGCTGAGGTTATGGGATTATTTAATTGATTATTTACGATGTAAATAAATAACTTATGGATAAACTGATATCGGGTGCTGATTGCGCATGTGAAAATCTATAAATTTACATTATTTAATTATTCTTTTACCGTCATTTTTAAGCAAAAAATAAAAATTTATTATTTCACAGCACCCGCCTAACTTTTTTAAATATCTAAACAAATATTTGACGCGCAAACAAATAATTTGTACCGACAAACATAATTTTTTACGCGCAATCGATTTATACTAATCGCATTTTTAATATTTTTTTCCGGGTGCCAACTTCATGGACCTACAAATAAAAAGGTATGTACTATGTAGATTCAAAGTACAGAGCATGGAGGTTAGAGAACAGGAGAAAGATCGCTGTAGAAAATAGTGTATCAGAAATATGGACACAATAAGTGAGCCGCTGCGATCGCTAAGTTCGCTCAATAAAAGTCATTTTCAGTCTATTTTTCCGATCAGATGCTTAACTACCTCCACATCCACGCACAATAATATCTATTTTTTAATGTTTCTTTTTGTAAAAAAATAAAATAATTACGAAGCACGAAAATTTTCTCACCAATGCCGCGAAGAAAATTTGTACATTATTCAACTAACTTCATCTAATTGTACTCATAAACAGCTTACTTCGCAGCTACTACTCACTAACGCCAGCGCCGCTATAAATTCTACACATTTTCAAGGACAGGCAGGCTATGCTTTAGTATGTAGCGATCGTTCTCCTGTTCTCTAACCTCTATGGTACAGAGAGTTTTCTTTTTTTCGTTAGTAATGGACTCGAACAGTCGCATTTTTAGCCTTGTCAAATATTAAGAAATTATCTTTTAATCTTTGAGTATTCAACCAACTGGAGAGGCCAAGCGCGTTAATTCCTAAACAAAAATCTGTCAATATATCAGGGGGGCACAAGAAAAACACACTACTGTATTTTACACACTACAAATGCAAAAATTCATACAAGTACACTACATCAATTGTATCTATTTTGTGTCCATTGCATTTACGCAAACCATCATATTGTAAACGTATCTATACAATGGTACCGCTGTTTACATGCGTAAGCAACGTAAGGCGAGGACTATGTCAATATTTTTATCGATAAACAAATCATCCTAGTCCACATAACTTCAACATTGGTAAAAGTGATTTTTAGTATTTTTTTAATTCGTTACTTACAGCCCGTCACAAGTCTGCTGCTGAACATGGGCCTCACAAAGCACGGTTCAGATCCACCTGCATCTATCAACTTCCTGCATGTCTTACCAGGTCGTCACTCCATTTATTGGGGGTCGCCTTGCACTTCACCCACCGGTACGAGGCTGCTACTCGAGAACCTTTTTCCTCCTCATCGGTCATCGATTCTTGGAACTATATGACCGGCCCATTGTTACTTCAGCTTACTAATCCGTTGGGCTATGTCGGTCTCTCTGCTTCTACTTTGAAAATCCTTATCTCTATGTTTATCATGCAGCAAAATCCAAGCATAGCCGTCTACGTAGCTCGCTGAGCGACTTTGAGCTTCATCATACGGCCAACAGTGAAGGGTTTTTTAGTTTAATATAAAATTATGATTTTACTAGTAAATATAATTATGGCTAGTCTTGATAATACTGATCAAACTCAAATTTTAAATCAAATTTAATCAAAAAGTTGGCTATGGGTACCTACCGGGTATATACCGAGCAATAAAAACACTAATGCATCAGTAGCTTCATCGAAAATATCGGATATAATATCAAACCTGTAGTTGACATAGCCATGATGCCTTCTGCTGCTAGCATGATATTTCATCAACAGCTTAATTTTTATTTTGTTGATGACCAAGACACAATACAAAGGTTTTTTTAGTTTAATTTTCCTTGGTGTACAACTTGTGTGTTGTGTGCCGTGCCGCCTCATCACGTGCCGCATTTTGTCATAGGTGCGTCATTAACCCTTATGTGAGTGACAAATAAAACACCTTTAACAGAGTGACGAGGTACCTGGGTACCTTCATACAGTGTATACGTAATGTATACTCTATTCCAATTACGAAGTCCCTTTTGACACTTCTTAGAACGTAACTCTTCACTTTTCGCATAATTTTAAATAATAATCATTTTTTGTTCATGGTCGTAAATCATCATTTAAAAATACACAATCAATCTAAATCATTATACAATTAATTCACACACACAATCAACATATTGTTTTTAGACATCGTGCTCAAAATAATTAAAACTTTAAAAGATAATATTTTACTGACTTTTTGCGTTTACGTTCTATAGTTTTATTTTTACTTTTTTACATAGTGACGTGACTAAAAGAATCTTATAATCGATTATAGATTAGTTATAACTGATAAATCTTTCGTTGTTATTAAGTTTTGACTGTTATTTGATTAGATTTTTTTTTTGTATTTATAAACACTATGGCCGAAACTGAGACCACTAAAAGAGCAGTGATGCGCAGTCAAGCGCGAGAGTTTGTAGTACGCCTACAAGATTACTTTGAAAGAGAGTATCAGAATGGTGGTCCATTGTTGCCACTTTCACAAGTAACTAACCGAGTAAGTGCAGCTCTTGGTATTAGTCGAAAAACTATTTCCCGAATAAGTAAACATGGTAAAGATTTAAGAAGAGAGAAAAGTTAGAAGATCAATCAATTTTGATAACGACGCCATTAGAAACCATATCTATGGCTACTGTTGCGCGCCTAAGTTGTCGTCATGTACCCCGCACTAGCGCCATCTAGTGTCGGGGACCAAATCGAGTAGGGCTTCCTAGAAAATGTAAATCTTGACTTTCGACCAACAGCGCCATCTAGTATCGAACAGAAGAATTAAGCTTTCTAGAAGCCCCACACTCGAAATTTCTGCGTCTGGTCGGTCGGCGCCCGTATCTACGGGAATATTCTGGATGTTTCGGTGTAAAAGTGTATTTAAAACCGCTGCATGCCGCGATCGGGGCAGTATTGAATTTAGCGAAATAAAGTGAATCAGTGTGATTAATTATTAGTGCCTTTTAAGTTTTAATTAGTGTAAAGTGAATTAAAGTGTTTATTTTCGTAATTCAATCGGCAGTTTTTATTGTCACGAACCCTAAGCTCGTAACAATAATTGGTGTCAGAAGTGGGATAAAATCATGCCGATTTTACCTAAGGACGAGATGGAGGGTGTCCGTACCCGAAGTCAACGCCAGCAGGAGACGGACCAGAGACGATTTGGTGTTGCAACGCCGCAGACGTCAGAGGGCCAAGTGCCAGCCACGGAGGCTGGCCCGTCAGCAGCTCCTACACCTGCAGCACCCGACTTAGGTGCTCTGATGGTGATGCTGCAGGAACAGGCCCACCGACAGGAGGAACAGGCCCGCCGACAGGAGGAACAAGTTCGTCGTTTGGAAGAGCAGCTGCAGGGCGGACAAGAGGAACAGGCCCGTTGGTTGAAAGAGCAGTAGGAGGAACAGGCACGCTGACAGGAAGAGCAGATGCTCCTCGTGAAGGACATTCACGCTAACTTCGGGAAAGAGATAAGGGAGGTGAAAGATAAGGTTGCTCAACATGACAACCGCCTGTCGGAAGCTGAAACCCAAATCAAGGAAGCTAAAACCCAAATCGACCAAGTGAACAATCGGGTTGATTACGTGATGGCTGACGTGAAGAAAACGCTGGACGACCTCAAACTGGGGGATGGAACTACAGCTCCCGTAGTAGCTACTACACCTTCGCTACGTGGGTTCAAAGTGCCACCGTTCGACGGGACTTCTTCCTGGTCAGCCTACAAAATCCAGTTAGAGGCTGTTATGAAGGCGAACGGCTGGAATAAAATAGCCAGACACCAAAGCTCTAGTGAAGACTTATGAGCAACTTCTTGAGGCATTGGTGGCGAGATATGGCGACACTCACCTGGAACACGTCTTTCGTGTGCAGCTTAAAGATCGCGTGCAACGCAGCAACGAAAACCTGCAGCAGTATGCCCTTGAGGTTGAGAAGATGGTTCGAAAAGCATACCGGTCTGTACCTGCGCTCATGACATTTGCGTGCTAAAAGTGTTGTTGTTGCGCAAATTGTTGTCCCTAAAGCTAAAGTGCCGAATGTTCTACAGCTGCACCATAATGGTTGTTCAGGAGTCCATCTGGGAGTTAAACGAACTCTACTCAAGATCCGAGTACAGTTTTACTGGTTCCATTATCGTGACGATGTCGAGGATTGATGTAGCACATGTACAAATTGTGCGGCTATGAAGGGACCTCAGACACGTAGTAGAGGAGCATCGAAATCGTACAATGTTGGTGTACCATGGGATAGGACAGCCCTTGACATTGCGGAGCCGTTACAGAAAGGCGCAAGAGGGACTCCTAAGATCGTCCATGTGGATCGCCAATGGCCGTAATTATAGGGCCGATAACGACGCCTAGAAACACATGTCTTAATGGCACAGTGTTGCGCGCCTAAGTTGACGTCATGTACCCGACACTAGCGCCATCTAGTGTCGGGGACCAAATCGAGGAGGGCTTCCTAGAAAATGTCAATCTTGACTTTCGACCAACAGCGCCATCTAGTATCGAACAGAAGAATTAAGCTTTCTAGAAGCCCCACACTCGAATTTTCTGCATCTTTCTGCGAAAAGTGTATTTAAAGCCGCTCACTTGAAAGTATTTCGCTCCGAAGTCCCCCTCGTCCACCCCCGCGTGCTCTAATCCAAAATCCCGAAACCTTTCAGCTCGAGTTACGTAACCACTTTCAGTGCCTAGAAGATTGCAATGCAGCGGACGATATGAATTACAAGCTCGTGGAAACTGTCCCTGCGGTCGGAGCTAAGTTCTGCAAGACCCGCCGCAGAAAAACACAAAAACTCTCCGATCACACTCTTAATCTCATGGCTGTTAGACGGGAGATGAGGCTGCAATCGTCAACAGATTTGACAGCATACAGGCAACAGACAGATCTCCAAATGCATGCGGCGAGACTTACGCAACTTTAATAATGCTCGTATTAACGAAGCGATCGAGCGGAACCAGGGCTCCAAAGTCTTTGCCAGAGATCTGTCTGCCAGAAAGAGCCAACTGTCAAAGCTGAAGACTGAGTGTGGCAGCATCGTTTCCGGTACACCTGAGATTCTGAGTGAGATTGAGAGGTTCTATGGGCAGCTGTACACATCATCGTTGGAGCCACACGCAAGTGTGAGTAACGATCCAAGAGCAAGTCTTATCCGACACTATTCCGATGATATCCCGGACGTCAGTCTGAGCGAGATTAGAATGGCTCTACAGCACCTTAAAAACGACAGGGCCCCAGGCGAGGATGGAATTACAGCGGAGCTCCTGAAAGCGGGTGAAACACCGGTACTTGAAGTCCTTCAGAAGCTCTTCAATTCTGTCCTCCATGGTGGAACTACAACGAGTCGTGGAGCAGAAGTGCGGTGGTCTTGTTCTTTAAGAAAGGCAACAATGCTCTCTTGAAGAACTACAGACCGATTTCCCTTCTGAGCCGCGTCTACGTGCTGTTTTCGAGAGTCATTACGAATCGTCTCGCACGCAGACTCGACGACTTCCAGCCTCCCGAACAAGCCGGTTCCCGAAAAGGCTTCAGTACCATAGACCACATACATACCCTGCGGCAGATTGTACAGAAGACCGAAGAGTACAATCTGCCACTTTGCCTGGCGTATGTGGACTATGAAAAAGCCTTTGATTCCGTCGAAATTTGGGCGGTGCTACAGTCCCTTCAGCGGTGCCAAGTTGACAGTCGGTAAATCGAAGTGCTGAAGTGTTTGTACAGTAGGGCTACGATGGCTATCCGAGTACAGAATCAGAGTTCGAAACCTATCCAACTGCAGAGAGGTGTATGACAGGGTGACGTTACATCCCCGAAACTCTTCACCGCTGCGTTGGAAGACGTTTTCAAGCTACTGGACTGGAAAGGATACGGTATTAACATCAATGGCGAGTACATCACTCACCTTCGATTTGCCGACGATATAGTCCTTATGGCAGAATCGCTGGAGGACCTTAGCACTATGCTCAATGACCTCAATAGTGTCTCCCAACGGATAGGTCTTAAGATGAACATGGACAAAACAAAGATCATGTTTAATGTGTATGTCACACCTATGCCGGTAGTTGTTGGGAGTACTATGCTCGAAGTTGTTGACGTGTACGTTTACCTGGGACAAATAGTCCGACTAGGTAAGTCCAACTTCGACCGAGAGGTCAATCGACGGATTCAACTCGGCTGGGCGGCGTTCGGGAAATTACGACACATCTTCTCGTCAGGTATACCTCAATCTCTGAAAACTAAAGTGTACAACCAGTGCGTGTTGCCAGTGATGACTTACGGATCAGAGACGTGGTCCTTGACTGCTGGCCGTATGAGGACGCTCAAGGTCGCTCAGCGAGCTATGGAGAGGGCTATGCTTGGAATTTCTCTGCGTGATAGACTCAGAAATGCGGATATCCGCAGTAAAACCAGAGTGACCGATATAGCCCAACGGATTAGTAAGCTGTAGTGGTAATGGGCCGGCCATATAGCCCCCCACTAGATGCAGTGACGACCTGGTAAGACATGCAGAAAGTCGATGGATGCAGATGATTCAGGACCGTGCTTTGTGGCGTTACTTGGGGGAGGCCTACGTTCATCAGTGGACTTGTGAAGGGCTGTAATGATGATAATGATGAGTAATCGAAGATCAATATCGTCAAGTATCGACTATAGCGGTACTTTACTAGTACTTGATTATTGACATCTGTCAAATGGGACTTCGTAATTGGAATAGAGTATAAACCTTTGACTAGAAAAAAGAAAGGACATGACATAAAGATCGTTAGTTGTGGGAATGTAACGAAATATTGGCGTCTCTTTTTAGCTTATGAGTATATTTGTATGTAAAAAAGGACAACAGTAGTTTTATCATTAACGAATATGGCAACAGTTTTTTCGCTGCGGACAGGCGCCATGTTTTGTCACAGTCAATGACAACTATATCAGTTGTCATTGCGACTTTAGTGAGGTGAGTGTGTTATTTTCATATGTTTCTCTCGTGGAATTCGATTATTACGAAATTTCTTATTCTATTCCCCGGGACCTCTAAATCGGGATAAAAAGTATGCTATATGTTAATTCAAATAATAAACTATTTTTGTGCCAAATTATTACGTTCAAACAAGTCTGATACTTTTGGCACGATTGAGGAACAAACAAAAATTCAAACTTTTGTATTTATTATAGTTTGATCAGTGTGAGTATGATGACTGAGCCTTATTTATTGTCTAACAAACAAGCAAACAAAATTTTTTTAATTAGTATTCCTTGTTTAGTAATTCCCGGGAAATAATTGTAACATTAATAATAGATAATTACATTATAAAAACAAAAAACAAAAACGGCAGCTTAAAAGTAACGAACTGAAAACATAGGTAAAACTTGTAATATATTTCAGTAATCTCCTTTTAATGTACTTTATTTTGATACCCCTATCGATAGGTTGAGTAAAAAAAATTAAGAACTTATATTTTGGCGTCAAAAATCCGTCATATTGATTTAAAAAAAAAACTATTTAAGAACACAAGGGTGTTTGAGAGGATTCACACGAAAGAATCTTTTTCTAAATAAGCGCCATATTATCGATATTAAGTATAGTGCGCAGCACTACGTCAAGCCGCCATTTTTGTGCCAGACTCAGTTTAGGTATACACGTTTTTTTCGTAGTTATGTCATGTCCTTTCTTTTTTCTCTAGTCAAAGGTATAAACAATCAAGATATACTTTTGTATGACACATACTTTGAATATCATTACTTTAGCTAAGCTAAACAGTTGACAACCTGTGGCGATAAAAGCGGAGGAGAGGTGGAATGCGGTACATGGTTATCGGTGCGCAAAAAACACTGAATCCATTCAGTGCATCGTGCTTGACATTTGACTGTATACGTTTGTTTCTATTGTTCGAGCATATTTGTATTTTGTGAGTTTATAATTATTTCATTGTGAATATTGGAGCGAGTACTTCTCAACAAAGATCACGTGTTCGAAGATATAATTCAACAGAATTACTACAGATATTAGCAGAATCTTCTAGTGACGAAGGTGAGTTTGTTGCTTCTGATAATGAACATGATTATATTCCTTTAGTTGAAGAGGGTAGATTTGAAATTTCGGATGTTGAGCCAGAAGTTGAAGTCGAAAATGAGATTGATTCTTATGATTCCGATGCGAGTTTTGAAGGGGAATCGCTTGAAAATATTCTTATCACAAAAGATGGAATGCGGTGGCAGTTTGAACCACTTCGCAGAACACAAAATAGTAGCAGAAATATTATTCGTCAACGGGGCGGGGCTGCATCGTTCAGCAAACTTTACAATCAAATGGAAATATTCAAAAATATATTGTCCAATGAAATGTGTGACATAATCTTGAGGGAAACTGATCGGAAAGGGACAAAGATTACTGAAGCATACAATAATAAACTGATGGAAAATAACCCTGATATTAGCAAGCGACCGAAACAAAAAATATTCAAACCATTCGCAGAACAAGAATTGGATGCATTTTTTGGTATTTTAATTTTTAGTGGGGTGCATAGATCTTATAAAGAGCATTTGACTGAACTGTGGGAATCCAGTCTCCTACCATTATTTCAGGCTGCGATGTCCCATGATAGATTCAAAATGCTGCTACGCTTCCTAAGGTTTGATAATGATGTAACGCGCCCTTAAAGTTTGTTAGCTGATTAAGCCGCTGCTATACGAGATATTTGGACTATGTTCATTTCAAATTTGAATAAAAACTACGAGCCTCGTGAAGCCGTTGAAAATCATATGGATATCGTGGGCGGACTCGCTATAATCAATACATGCCATCAAAACCTGAAAAGTATGGCATAAAAATATTCTGGGCTTGTGATACAAATAATTCCTACCCCCTAAATGGAAAAATATATACAGGAAAGTCGAGTGTTGGCATACATCAAACAAATGTAGGAGAATGCACTGTATTAGATCTCGTGGCTAAATATTAAAAATTCAGGGCTGAATGTCTACCCTTAAAAAAAAAAAAACCCCCCCCCCAATTTAAAAAAAAAAAAAAAAAAAAAAAAAAATAAGGCCACCCCCGGGGCGGCTCCCTTTCTCCCAACTACGGATAATTTTTTTACGTCGCTTCAACTGACTCATTCCTTGAATTCGTGGAATATGACACTAGTTAGAACGGTAAGAAAAAATAAACGGTTTCTTCCTGCAAATATGCAAGCACACAAGGAGAGGGCTGTTTATTCTTCTAATTTCGCATTTAGCAAGGAAGCAACTGTGCGCTCTTACGTACCTAAAAGTAATAAAGCAAAAACAATGCACATGTCCCTTATTGAAAGTAATAAGGAAACTGCCAAGCCAGAAATAATTTTATATTATAATAAAACCAAAAGTGGAGTGGACAACATGGATAAGCTGTTAGCAGAATATACCGTAAAACGCAGAACAAATCGGGGGCCTTTAGCACTTTTTTACGATATCATTAACATTGCAGCTTTGACAGCATATATTATTTACATGAAACATAATCCACAATTGATCTCGAGTGACAGACGTAGAAAGTTTTTGAAATCATTGAGTCTACAACTGTGTGGTAAAAATATATAAGAGAGATCAAAAAATTGCATTGTGACATCAAAATTACACGTGAGATCTGCAATGCAGGACATGCTTTGCCGAGAACTTAGGCCGTCAATTTCTTAATAAAATTGTTAAATTTTACAGTCGAAGACGTAAAAGACTTTGTGGCAATAAATCTGCTAATGGGAATAATTGATATGCCTTCAAATACAGACTATTGGTCCCGAGAATTTAGATACAGTCAAATAGATCATGCCCCTCAAAAAATTTCAACAATTACGTCGTTACATTCATTTTAATAACAATTTGCATGATGATGGGGATCGCTACTACAAGATAATACCTTTAGCGGATATGCTAGGTGACAACTTTTTGAAAGTATTTCATGAAAAGAAATTCAGCATAGATGAGATGATGGTGCCTTATGAAGGGAAAAAAGCTGGTAATCGAAAACAATATGTCAAAAATAAGCCTAAAAAGTGGGGTTACAAGATTTTCGTTAGAGCTAGTGTAACTGGCTTTGTTTATGATTTTCTTATTTATTGTGATGAAGACACTTTTATATTAATTGATTTTTCACCAGTAGAGTCTTGAATGTGTGCTAAAGTTGTGATAGTATTATGTAAAACTATACCGGATCCAGCGTGTTCTGTAGTGTACTTTGACAACTATCTTAAAAACCTGGAATTGATTCACTACTTGCGAGAAGAGATGTGTATATTTTCACTTGGAATTATAAGGGCAAATAGATTACGCGGAGCTGAAAAGAAGCTCATCACTGACAAAGCACTGAAGAAGAAACCAAGGGGTTCTCATTCGCAAGTCGTGTGAAATGATAAGAAAGTGTGTGTCGTCAAGTGGTGCGACAGTAAATGTGTTACTATCGCAAGCAGCTATGTAGATGTCCACCCTATATCTACGATCCAAAGGTACAATAAAGAGAAAAAAATTAGGTCAGCAGTGCCATGTCATGAAATTATAAAGCATTACAAAGCCCATAGGGGTGGTGTTGATTTAGCTGATATGCTGATAGCACTCTATAGAACTGAACTAAAGGGGCACCTACCATTAAAATCATAGGTGTTGGACATATGTATCACAAATAGTTGGATATTATACCGAAGAAATATCAGTAATAGAAAAATAATAAGATTGAAGAAATTCTGGTACAACGTTTCCAAAAACTTATTATTACACCACAGAACCACCACGAAACATACAGACAATGTGAAGGGTCCAACCTCCTCTAAACTAATAAAGGCGCCGGTTGCTCCAAGACCAACAACTGTAATTCTGAGTGACCAACTTGGCCATTTCGCAACTTTTGGGACAAAAGTCAGGTGCAAACTATGTACCAAAGGTCAAACCACTGTGTCATGTATTAAGTGTGGAGTCAGATTCTGTTTAGTGCCTGGCAGAAATTGTTTTTATAGTTTACACCACCAGTAATTTCATGTTTAGTACAAATATGTGATCTCATCATTTATCACCATTTGTATTATTAACTCTTTTTGGCAGTGTGCCTCGTGAGATACATTCGCCTGAGATAGTCATTCCTTACGAACATGGCAATGTATCTCACGGGACACAGAAGGTATCTCTGGAAATAAAACTCTATGATTTTTTTTAATTATTTTTCCCTGCATTCTATGTTCATATAAAATGAGATAATTAAAAAAAAAACAGTTATTTAAGATTATTTCTTTTTTTTGCCAAGAAAATGCTTTAGGTTGATACAGCAGTATCGGTTAACCTTATTTTATTGATAACTTGGGGTACCTATAAAATATGATTTATCAAAATGTTCGGAGCAAATGGTGCTAGTTCGTTTAGGTATCCAAGATTCATGATTTCTACAAGCTGCAATCCAAGTCTGCTGCTTAAGAGGATCTCTTGGAAATATGGAAAATCAATCCTTGTGCACAGGCTTGGGGATATAGGTATAAGGGGTACCCACTTAGATTTATTTAAAGGCTATCTTAAGGATTACAAGCATAAGGTAAATATGGGTGAATACTTAAGCGATGAATCAGATATAACATTCGGAGTTACAAAGGGCAGGGTTCAGGGTCCTACTATGTTTTTAATCTTCATAAATAATCTAACCAACACGGACATTAACGAGGGTAACATAATGTCCTATGCAGATGACACTGCAGTAATATTTACTGTTGACTCCTGGGATTCTGTTCGTAGATCTACTGAAGAAGACCTTGCTAGGATCGCTAAGTGGCTGAACACTAACGTACTTACTTTAAATATTTTGAAAACTAGTTAACCTCTCGTCTGTGAGGTAGCTGATTGGCCAGTAAAAAATAAGGCGTGTCTGTGGGCTGGCTGATTTCTGTCATTACTATAGTCCGGACGCGACGCAGGAAGAATTTCGTAAGTTGACCTGTTATTACCTGTCTCTGTCACTCCCGCGTAAATATAATGCGTCTCGCTCGCACAGATGCAATGACCGCCGTCCTCAGGGATTGTAAACGTTTTATCTGAGACTGTAAGGTTTGTTTGCACGTGGTATTTGGTTGGCCTTGAGGCACGACCAAAAATCCTTGCTTTGCTTGACATAATTAATAATTTTTAAATAACGAACAAACGACATTCCATTTCGGGATGCGTTAATGATCGCTCAGTTTTCGGACACAGTTATCTCTGTTATTTATTCTTAGTTTGTTGTTGTTTGTTAATTTTAGTTATCTTGTTTTAATTGTTAAGTGGTTTTGTTAAGTTTAATGTAGACAAAACTGTTGAGTCTTTTGTAATAAATGTGACAGGCGGAACGTCATCGGACTCTGATACAGAGAAATCAGATTCTGATTTTTGAATTTTCATTTTTTTATTTCTGCCAAATTAGTAATTGTAATGGAAGACACACACGGTCAGTTCAACTGATCATTTCAACTGATCAGCTTAAACTACGACTGTTGATATTTTTTAAAATATCGGATTTTCGATATATCTATAAATAAACTTATATATAAAACTCCGATACTGATATACTTATAATAATCGATTTACCGAAAATCCGATATTATAAAAATATCAACAGTCCTAGTTTGAACTGATCAGTTGAAATGATTAGTTGAACTGTCCGTGTGTGGCGACCATAACTCGATTTTTATAATTGTTTTTATAATGATTTCTTATATTTACGCGAACACTACACATTGATTAAAATAAAGAAGGAGGCTGTGTAGTACCACCTGCTTGGGACTCTAATTAATACAATTAAAACTAAACCCAAGTATACCGCTGCAAGACTGCAAGACACAGTAAGTTCATTCTGCGTAGATTGCACCATAAACAATAATTAAAAAGATGAAAGTACTCCAGGTTAACATTGACATCGGGACGTCAGTCACCTCAGTCCCCCATGACCACGTATCTAGTATATACACAGTAATCTATGCCCGTGACCATGGGTGCTGGTAGGCGTACGAAACGTCAGAAATTAAAAATCATATAAAGTTAAACGCGATAAAATCCGTAAAAGTAGTTTTAATAAACTGTTTTTATACTAAAATCAAAATAAATAACTTATATAATACCAATAATTTATTTAATACGATAATAAATTAGTTTTTTTCCTTTAAATATTTCATAAAAATTACACTAATACAAAAATGTTTGTGGCCACTGTCAGTAGGCAAAGAGGTCATTGTACGAAATTCTTCCTTTACTTTACACAGTCGCATTTCGCGGCTAAATTCTTTTATTTCTTTATCTTTCTCTGTGAAATAAGACCGTAACTATGTTCATTATGAACTTGGCTGTATGATATACGTTACTACTAGCAACGTCTACAGAAAAAATAAAAAGAAACTTGTCATTGAAGTGCATTGAAGTTCCGTCGATTTAGTTGAATAGTGCTGTGGTAGTTTTTCTTTTAAAATTGTGAATTACAAGTTATTATATCGGATTTTATGAAAAATACAATGGAGAGGTAAGCTATCTTTAATTATTTTTATACTTTTCGAGGCTTGTTGGCAATTTTCATTGAAAATTTTGTAATTGAATTTGATTCAGTCTTAGGAATGACCACCGTAATGTCGCAAGCTTTTACTTTTTAGGTGACTTAATTGCTTTTTGTGTCAATATATTCTGTGCAATATATTGTAAAACTAATATTTAAGCTAAATACGAAAGCACAAAGTATACTTTGATGTAAAAAGTGAGAAATTGCTTCAAAAGTATGTAACGGTCGTTAAGTGAAGTAAGACTAGGTTTGACATTTGTTTTGGTAACGGTGGAGAATATGGATAAGCCTTTGGTAGAGATGGGAAAAATGGTTTATTAGAAGTATTTAAAAATTCTAAATGCTAATTCTTGGATAATGTTTTAGTTTGAAGTAAAAATATATAATAGTTTTGAATTAAAGTACTTAAGTACAAAATTCAAAATACGTATTTTTAAAAAACACTTTTTAAATACACTTCTAATGGATTTTAACACTACTATTTGTTGAAAGATCAGTGATTAATTGTTTTGTTTGAAATATAGAAAAATACTTAAACCAGTGTGACTTGCGATCTCGGTACGTAAGACCATTTTGAATATTACAAAGACTATTTATTTAAAATCCAAAATAAAAATAGGTAATAATATGTATTTGCATTTTATGCATGTATTTGAAGTTATTAACTTTTTGGTACTTTAGTTTTTCTGACCTAAAAATGGTATTTTGATCTTGACAGTTACTGTTCGGCAGCGACTGCTGGGATTCGCGGCACCGCTCCGTATGGATTTATATGCTGCCTTTCCGTTATAAACAGAATGAGTCGCTTGCCGAGATCGTAATTCCACCTAGATAAAGTGCCTTTTATTTAAAAAAAATGTTCTTGTGCTTGCTTGGCTTATTTTGTTTTTCTTTTGCATGTTGGTACTGTCGTTGATACAGTCGGAGGAGTGTCATTGCATGCTCCATACACGAGGTGGCATTCGCTCACGCAGAAGTGTACGCTGTGGTGTTCGTACACGTTGTGGTGTACGCACACGTAGTGGTATACGCACACGTGGTGGCGTACGCACACGTGGCGGCACTGCGGATGCGGCGCTTGGTGTGGACACGGCACTTGTTACGGGTATAGCATGTGGTGTGAGCACAATACGAGGTGGACCAGTGGTACGAGGTGGGTGCACAGCACGAGGCGAACGCAGCGCGCTTGTTATTGGAGTTGGAAGGGGCATGTCAAGACCTTCCGTCTCAGAACCGTAATCATCGCCTTTTTACTTACGTTCTAAGATCTTCTTTACTAATAATTTTTGTGTATACTAATTACAGGAAATTATTACTATTTTAGCCTATTTAGCACTATGATAGAAGATGTACAGCAAGGGTATGGGTTGGAGCGTCCTTTACACGCTAAAAGAAAGTGTTCTTTGCCCCCAACATTAGTGTGTGTATTTGTTATTGTTGTTTCTTAATTCAACTATAGATATTGATTTTAGAATTGATTAGATGTATATACATTTTTTAGATTCAACATAAATTCATCGTTGTTGGAGTTAAGCCATCAACATCCACGTTCTGTTGAGGTGAATGATGCTGGGCCATCGTCGCTACATATGTAAGCACTTATTATTATTTATATATTTTAAAGATTTTTAAACTTTGTTCTTTTTTCTTATCCAAATTTATTATTCAGACAGGGTTCTGATACGGTACGTGCTACATCAACGGCACCATCTCCAGCGCCGTTTGAAATGGGCTCGCCAGCACCCTCTCTGGTGGTCCCAGTGGTCGAGTCACCGACGCCTGCTGCGTCAGAGTACTTGGAGGTCCCTACACCGGCGATGTAAGTGTAATAAATTTTTATGTTGTCTTTATCTGTGGTATTGTGGTATTAATGTTTTTTTTAGGTACGTAGAGTGTAGTGGAAGTAGGATATCGGACTGCAGGAAGGAGCTTCCACGGAAATGCGACATCTACGCCAAGGGCCCCAGTAGTTAGCAGAGATTGCAAAAGTTCTTTGTAAGTATATTTAGTAAAATATTCAATTAACGCAAATATATTGTTGTTCTGTACTGTTTTTACTAATGTTAATAATTTTGTTATAGTATTTATAGTCGACTTCTACGGGACCATGAAATTTCGGAGTACCTCAGTATGGTGCACCGCCCAATATTTGCCAACTTCTTCTATCTTCTCCTAATAACTGAAGAATAAGAAAGCGATGGGGAAGATGGCCAGGAAGAGGGCTTCAAATGTTATTCGAGATCAAAAATGTTTCTCAACAAAAGAAGTGATCATGAGCTCAAGCCTCCTTCAGCCTCTACACCTCGGGATCTGCAACACCCATCCCAATGTGGAACCAACCACCACCGCATGTTGAACAATCCGCTGGCTCAGCACCTACCCCTACAATAATTACACCGCTTGTGGAGCAACCAGCAGGCCCAGCACCGGCCCTTGTAATACAACCACATGAGGAGCTGCTTTTACCTTGCAACAAATACGATTTCCAGTGGAGAGCATTCCCGCAGCCTCAAATTGAACCAGAGCAGAGGAGAGAAATGTTCTGTTCAGTTAGTTGTTGACCCACTGCCCAATATACTATCATATGAAGCATTCGTTGCAATTTGGGACCGAGAGATTATGGAGAAAATCGTTGTGGAGACGAACCGCTACGCTCAACAGTCAGGGGCGATCATGATGCAAACAGGGACTTTGCACCCCAATAGCCGCATCACAAAACGGCATAATACAACTGTGGATGAATTGTACGTGCTTTTTGCCATAGTTCAAGCGACCGGAATTGTGGTGAAAACACGTATAGATGAGTATTGGAATTATAATAAAGATATTTTCTGTACTCCAGAATTCACCACAGCGATGCGTTTTGATCGCTTTATACTGTTGAGCAGGTGTCTTCATTTTACAAACAACGAGACATACAATCCTGCATTAATGACCCGTGCGCAGGTAAAACTTTTTAAAATACAGCCCATTCTAGGACATTTAAATTTTAAATTCTCCAAATTATATAATCTTGACCAAAATATTGAAATCGATGAGAGCTTGACGATGTGGAAGGGCTGGTTAGATATAAATCAGTTTATCAAAAATAAACCAGCGGCAGTGGGGATTAAAACATACGAAGTATGCGAGTCCAAGTCTGGCTATTTGTGGCGCTTCGAAGTCCACGCAGGACACGAAGATCCCAAACCACAAGACGATAGTCCAGTTTCTGAAATAACATTCCATCCATTGTGCTCAGACTGTTAACTGGTCTTGAGCACAAAGGCCACTGCATATGGATGGACAACTTTTACAACTCCCCTGCGCTCGCGCGGGAGTTAAAGTGTCGTGGGTTTGACTGCGTGGGGACGTTACGCACAAATCGTCAGTTTGTTCCCGTCGAATTAACGACACTTACTACGCAAAATATGGCTGTCGGTCAGGTGAGTGGCTGCACTTCAGGGGATGTGAATCTCGTGGTATGGCGGGATAAGAATCGCGTGGCACTTATTTCGACATATCATGGACTAGCAACCATGAAGTGCGGTGTTACATTAAAACATACCGTAATCCATGATTACAACATTTGCATGGGTGATGTCGATCGTAAAGATCAGATGCTAGCCATGTTCCCCTTGAAAGGAAGCTAACGCCAGTGTGGTACAAAAAGTTATTTAGGCGGCTATTAAATGTAATTTCATAAATGCTTACATAATACACAAGTCTCAACAATTAGCGAATCACCGAAGTTTTCGTAAAACTTTGTTGGTTCAGTTATTGTCGCGTCACACTACGTCACAACCTAGGCCTTTCGCCTATATTACACACAGCGGAACAGACAATAATACACAAGGTTTCGTGCACTATCCGCAACAGAACGTTGTGACGGAGAAAGCTAATAAGTGTAACCGCTATCGTCGCAATTGCGCTGAGTGCGGAAAGCGTGTCACAACGTACTGCAAAGAGTGTAATGAGCCACTTTGCGTTTTCTCGTGCTTCGAGCCTTAACACACAAAAATTTACAGGTACACTGAACAATGACACTGATTTCAGACATAGCATTTAAAGTCAATATTTAACAACCGTCTAAATACTCGCAAGTTAACGCTGCTAATTCAAGGGGAAGTAAATAATAAATAAATCCCCAGATAAAACACACCAACTGTATGGTCCCGTGGTGTATGTTTACAGTGAATCGGTGGGGGGGGGGAGATTAGAGATAACTAGTGTCGAGACAGCTACATTAGTTTAATTCAGTTATTTCCATAGCATAATGACATATGTGATTTTGCTATGGGGAAACGCGGCATTCATATAAATAAATAATTAACCTTTGTCCTCTCAGTATATCTACGAAAATTTAATTTATGTTCACAAAAACAAAAGTAGTTTTAGTAAAAAAAAGTGATATACACTTTGTGAACACAAGGAACAAACACAAGCTTATGATTCTAGTTTCTTGACTCCACAGATTCAGTAATCTATTCTTGGGGCAATGTATATATAATACGCTATTACAACAAAGTCCCAGAAAATATACAAGTCTCTCTATTACTAAGTTTAAATATTTAATTAAACTAAACTATAAAAAGTTTTATTATAATATAATTGAATGCATGGTTGATAATAACCCCTGGGATTGAGGTGGTTGCTCCCAAGCTGATTATAAACTAAATTTAGTAAATATTTTGTGACCATAATGAGTGTAAAACTTATTTAAAAAAAAGTCCCGCTAGGTTTCTTGCTGGGTCTTCCCAGGACGGAGGTTTTTTTGGAACCTGTGGTAAAGTAAAAAACTTCCTTTCAATAAGAATTACATGTTATCTATATTGAATAAATAATATTCTATTATATTATAACCATGACCAGAGTACAAACATCACCTGGGACATCCGGCGTGTGAGGCAGGACTACCAACTACTACGCTGCCCGGCCGTAAGGGCAGTAGAACAACGGGAATAATTTACTTATGTTTACTCTTACACTGTTTATTGTTTTATTACAAATACAAAGTAGAAACTAAAAAAATATATTTTAAAACAAATCAATCTTAGTCTCATCCATATTAGTCTTGACACATTTTGGATGTTTTTGTACTACTTTTGTATTGTATAAGTTAGCATTGATTTTATGAAAGTTATTAGAAACCATGCAAGGTTTTTAATTCAAATTAAAGCTAGTTGAATGTATATCTTGGAAAATAGAACAGTTTATTCAAACAAGCAACTTAATCATTCAAAAATTAATTTCTTGTAACCACTAATTTCTAAGTAAAAAAGACCCTTTTTTGTGTAACTGTTATTCTAGTTCCATTGAGCATACCCTTGGATCACTTGTGATTTTGCTTACCTGATAAGCTTAAGTTACAGTAAACATCTGCTTCAATATTCAAAGCGCTTATTTACATAAATATACGTTAAAATGTGGAAGTAACTTTTGTATAGTCTCAGAGTATTTGGTTTAGAATGAAAGTTTTAAACATTGTTTTGCTGAAAAAATTTGTATGATTGCTGGGGATTGCTTTTTTGTAATAAATCTGTTAAAATATGTACTGTTGATGTAATTAAATGATTATTATTATCAAACATTTCTTTATATTTTATTTTTACATAGAAATAAATATGAATATAAGTGCCCTAACATATGTAGATGTAGTATAAAAAATTTATTATAATATTGCAGTTGATATGATTTAAAGAAATAGGAACAGAAACTACTCTTGAGTAATCGATAAAGAAAATAAGACCTTAATTTAAAAAAGGACAGGAGATATTACAATTTTTATAAAATTAAAGCCAAAAATAACTCAAGTCTGTGATGTGGCTGATTTCAGCCACACAGACATGACATTTCTCATTTTGAGTTTCTCACAGTTGAGAGGTTATATACGTTTTACAAATTATATTCGAACTCAGCCTAATATTATTTTTTATAATCCCTTAAGTACTAGTTGCAGCTGTTCGTTAATTAGTAAGGTCTCTGAGACCAAGTATTTAAGAGTCATAGTTGACCAACATTTGTCATGGCATAGACACGTTGAATTAATCATGAATAGACTTTGGAAACTTACATGGACATTTAAATTGCGTGTGCAGTGCAAGTGTGCATTTGTGTGCGTGTGTGTATGGTGATATACACACACACATAAGGAATATGGGTGGTTATGTGCGTTTTATGTAGGTACGAAAATCGCACTAAAATAGTGAAGATAGGTAATAAAACCTATAATTAATGTAACAGTTAAAAATATATAAAAAATCACAGTAGATATTTATGTATCTAACATATATTGAACTAATCTATTATTATTGAATGTATATAGAGTACTACACTTTCATACTGTAGAACCCAAAATATTGCCGCTTTTTACGAAGTCATTAATTATTTTTTAATCTTTAGTAAAATAACGTACAAAAGTAAGTTTGGTTAAGTGTAAACTTCGGCCAAGAGATAGCAAATGTTTATTTTTTTTTAAATTCATGTATCGATCCAGTTTGATGACTAGATCAAATCATTGCGTGAAATCAGTTCAATCCTGCCACTGGAAGAAGATAAAAGTTTGTGTGTTTGAAGGCTATATTTTGTACTGTAAAAACTGTAAGTAAATAAATAAAAGAACATATAGAATCAATGTTGTTTGTGTATAAGTGTCCTTGACATGAAAGTGAATTGAACATATACACGTCCTTTCTTTAGGCTTCTACCAGGATTCATTTCTAGCCCATCTTATGATTTCAGTCCAACGACTTACCGGATCCGTTGGAAATCTACGGAGGGAATAAAAGCAATTTGACATTTATAATATCAGTATGGATTGTCAAGAATGACAGATTAACTTTTCAAACCAGTTCACAATCAACTTTTTGAGGTTATATACTCCCGCTCTTTCTCGCTCTAGTAAATGACGGTTCTGAGAGACCAAAAAGGATAGATTCACAGGAAAGTGCGATTCCGTGCTGCCAGATCTATTTCGACCCTTAAAACAGTTTAAC